ATCTCACGATTCTTAGTCCAGGGCTCAGTTCCACCAACCACATGGCTTGTGTCCAAGTATGAGATTTGTTCTGGAAAAACATTTAAAGGATTATGATAATCCAGGATGAGTTAAATTGGGCATTACTGGTATGTTTTTACCTGTTTTCCATAACACTACTTTGCTAAAACTGTTACAGAGAAAGTAGGTAAATAATTTTTCCCCCACTGTCAGAAGACCATCTGCTATTTGAGACAACTCTCCCAGATATTATCATTATAATCATTTTTCTATTTCCAGTTAGCAGCATGCTTCCTTTAATATACAAAATAAACCACTGTTTTTGCAGATTTCCTAAGGCCATCTTGGTATTTGTCTGCCTTTTCCTCCTCTTTAAGGGTGGGAGATTTTCTCTTACTGAGGGCGATACATTTCTACATTAGTGCCTATTTATTTCCTTTTCATTTTCTCAGAGAAAAACAATCAGAGCTCATCATTACTGTAGTCATGGAAATTTCATGTCTCCAGAAGAAATCCAGTTGTGGAGTTTTCTTTGTTAATATCATGCTGGACATTTAAGCTTTCTTTTTTGGATCCCAGCAGCCCAGGCAGGGAAGCCATTGAAACTGATTACAGCATGATTTATAACCCTGTGTGGGAAGGGAGAGTATGTCCATAAGGAGCTGCCCTGGGGTGCTAGAGCTGTGCATACAGTAGGTACTCAGCAGAAGCTGGTAACTGCACAGATGAAGAAGCCAGAACTCTAACAACCAGCTAGATTCTCAGTTCTCCACAGTACCATGAACTCAACAACATAGCCACAACCAACGTCACTATCCTCCTTGCAAACCTGTCCTCTCCCGTCTTTCCCACCAGGGCACCACTGTCTGCTGTCGACCTCATGCGGATCCCACCCCCTCCTTTCTGAAGTCTTGACTTTCATTCTATTGATACCATTTCCATGCATCTCCCTTTCTTTCTCCCCTGCAGACCCTCAGTTCTTCGCTCTGGCTCATGGCTGCAGTCTCCTAGGTAACCATCCCTTCCACTCCTGTCCAATTTCCTGCTCTCCCTATTGTTGCTGAAACAGTGAGGGCACAGAGTAGGACTTAAGCAAACATCTGCTGAACAATGAAGAAACTGAAGAGCCTTCCCAATATGCAAATTGCGTCATGTTACTTCTCTGTTTAAAATCCTCCAGTGGTTCCTACTGCTTTTAGGATAAAATTCAAACTTAGGGGTCATTCATTGGCTTTTCAACTCCTTGCCAGCACTATCTCCCCTCAATTCTTATTTACATCTTGTGATCCAGCCATCCTGAGTGAACGACTAACAATGTTCTGGACAAGGTACCTGTTAAATGTGGCGGTTGGGAAGGATCTCCAGCTCTGCAATAAGATTGAATGTGGTCACATTCCAGCTCCACCACAGAGCTCTACAGCCTGGAGGGAGTTACTTAACTGTTCTGTGCCTCAATTTCCTCATCTGTACAATGGGTCTGATAGTATTTCCTAACAAAGTTGTTGTGAGGATTAAATATGTGAATACAAGTCAAGCAGTTAAATTAGTACCTGGCATACACAAATACTCCATAATTGTTATCCTGGGATTGTTATGAACATGATTACTTTATAATGTGCTGCTTCCTTATGTCTGGAATACCACCCCCAACTTTACCTGATAGATCCTAGCCATCCTCAAGTCTCAGGCCCTGTATCACAGCCTCTCGGAAAACAGTGTATGTAGCTATGTAGTGTTAAAAGCTTAAGTTGTGGACTCAGAATGTATGGTTTTAAATACTGGTTCTGCTGCTCACTATTTTATTCTAATCTAATCTTACTAACCCTTGGTTTCCTTGTCTGTAAAATTATGATAATAAAATAATAGTACCTCTCTCATTAAAGTTGTCAGAAAAAAATATAAAGTGTGCAAAATGTACCTAACATATTCTAAATACATTATCTGTGTTAGGTATTATTTTTGTTAGTGGCCATTCATTCTTAACTTATATCAAGAACAAACCACTGTATTACTATAATCTTTTGACTTGTTTCTCTTAGCAGCTAGATTGTAGGTTATTTAAATTCAAGGACAGAGTCTTTTTCATCATTATATCACAGCACTTGAGACATCATTCAAACAATGGGACAGACAAGAATTCAGCTATTTTGTCAATAGATGGGAGCATTTACATACATCACTTTAAGAGATGTTAGAAGATTGTGATGATAAGAGAAGGAGATGTTGGGAAGAAAGAATCTTTTGGTGGGATGGGGAAGGGGACAGTTTTATTTTTTTGGAAAGAATGGAAGACTTGAGATTAATTTTGACTGTACCGTTTCATTTGGCACAAAGGTGAGGAAAGCCTGTCCCAGAAGGCTTTACATCATACTAGTTCTTAAATAGAGTTGTGCTGGTAAATATTTTAGCAACCAGTTCTCCAAGAACAACACAAAATCCTGATTTATAGTGTTAGCTGATTACTGATTACTGTGGAGTCTTTCAGGCTACCACTGTTTTGTTAACCAACCTGCAAAATTCCTGAAACTGTAGGAATCAGCCAGTGATGAGCTGGCCACAGCACCACACTGCATAAACTTCCTACTAAGGTCTTTCCTTCTGTAAAATGTGAATTCTATAATGTGAGCACTCCACCTCCAAGTATAGATGTCAGGGACTGAGGGGAGGAAGGTGGGTCAAATGCTAGAACCACAGAAATGTTAATGTTTTAACAATGCTGTATGCTCTCACTTTTACACTAATACACTTCGCATCCACTGACTGTAGTTGTAGGACCAGGACATGTGCCGATGATCTTCTCTCAAAAAGCATCCTGTCTGGAATTCTACTCAGAGCAGTATATTTAGTTTTATCCTCACAATCGGGGCTGTGCTTTCTGCAACAGACTGACTCAATTAGCCTTTCATTCCAGAGTCCAATTGTGAGTCAATTCTGAGGTTGTTAAGCAAAATGAGTCTGGTGGCATTAGGCTCACATTGAAGGACAGTAATCCTCATCACAGTGTTGTTCAGTTAATAGTCTGCTGGAGGGACTACAAGAAACAGGAGATGTGGAGATAGAGCGACCTTTCGTCCATCTCTGGGGGACAGGCCGAGAACGTGGGGCTGCCAGGCCAGAGAGCTATTCAGCAGCCAGCTTGTGTGCAGAACTGGAGTCCCAGCTGCCTGATCTGCACTTGGCCTTTGCAAAGTTAGAAACCCAGTGCCACTAGACCATTAACTTTCATGACCAGGAAAATTCTTCTGAAATTAACACTCAATCCAAGCTGGATGCCATTGGAACCAGTTGAGTAAGCCTGAGCCACCTCTAGGGATTTCCTCCAAAAAATAAATCCTTTAACTAGGCTACAGTAAACAGCCAGGTTTTATATCTTTCAGTGTGTTCAATTAAAATCAGGAAACACCAGCGAGGCACGGACTGTGGTTGTGATCCAGGCACACACACATGCGCACACACCAGCCTCGTTTAGAGGATTTTGCCAAGGCACTTAGCTTTAGCACATGGCCCTGCTTGGGAAGCCTTATAAAGGGCCTCTCTGAGGAGTGTCAGGTGCTGTGCAAAGAAAATAAAACAGACCTCCAGCATCTGCCCCAGGGATTCACTGTGATAGAGCCAGGCACATGGAACATACAGTGCACACCAGATGGGCACAGATAGGAAGGCTCAGGCAAGCCTTTTTGACAAGGGTTCAAGGAGAGAACCAAACCCACATGAACACCTGACAGCCTCTGCAGTGTACTGTGGACTTACTTTCCTAGGCCTTTTAATGTCCCTATTAGTTAAAATTGTAGGAAAGAGATACATAATGTTCTTCCTGCATGCTTTTTGCAAACCTTTGTGCTCCTCCAGCATCCTACCCTTCTCAGTCCCACCAACCCAGGCTTCTTTATATCATAAAAAGTATGCTAACTAAATACAGTTTTCGAGTGGAAAGAAGCAAAAACAGCTCTGGGAATGTCAGCAGCCAACTCTGGAGTGAGCTAAAGATGGAAGAAAATGAGACAACCTCCCATTGTCGCCCATAATTGCCCAATAATTTAAATTCTTGTGAAGTCCATTGTGTTCTTCCACAGAAACAGAGCAGTTGTCTGCTAAGATGACCTCAGAGGTGGCCCAGCTTTCTTTCAGGATTTCTTCAACAGTATCCTCTTCAGATTGAAAAACAGCCAATTGGCCACAGAGAGCCTTCTTCCTTCCCAGAAAATCTGCGGCTCCTCTCCCCTTCTGGGTCTCTGCAACTTCACTACCACCTAGGGCTGCCAGGTAGACTGCGCTGGTTCCTGGAGACTTCCTAAAATGCAGGCAGATGCCACACTGATCAGTGGCTCCTCCAGACAAGGCCTTCGATCACAGGCCCACGGCGCTCAGAATGAGCCTCACCTGTCCCTTTTTCTTCCCCTTTGGTTTTCGGGGAAAGGCAAGCTCCTCCTCAGTGTCACTTGGCTGGAATAAATCACTACCCCCTGGGCTGGCAGATGAGAGATGACTTAGGAGACAGATATACACATTCTTAAAGCCAGCAGGAATTACGGGAGCAGATGGGCTGTAGGATCCTATTTTGATGCCAGAGACATGTTTCTGTATAAAGTAAATATTTTCCCTGTGTGGATCTCCGGTGAGTGTGTGGAGAAGCATATTTCCTAAAGATGCAAATAAGTCTAGTCAGAAATAAATATTGAATGGAAACTTCAAAGCTTCTAGATTTCTCTAGTTATAGGCCCTGAAGACTTCTCTCCAAATAAGCAGACACACACAGGTGGCCGAGGGCCTGGGGAGGGTATGGTTGTGGGGGGTGCATAAGAAAGGATGTCAACATTTTAATAGCTCACGTTTTCAATATATATATATATAGAGAGAGAGAGAAACTTGTGTGTGTGTGTGTGCGCGTGCACGTAAAGAGGCTTATCAACAAAGGAATAAAGAAGAGTTATGTCTGTCCAGAGGCTTAGGATGTTTTAAAGCACATCCCTCCTCCCCCATCCCCTTTCTTCCTGTTGTAGATCTCGCCTTGCGGATTTTTTTACCAACTGCCAGCCAGAGTCAAGGTCTGTCAGCAGCTGTCTAAAGGAAAACTACGCTGACTGCCTTCTCGCCTACTCGGGGCTTATTGGTAAGATCTGGGAAAAGTGGGATGGGAGAAGAGTCTGGTTTGCAAATACCCACAATCTTTCCACTGTGGCCTGCTGATGTCTGCAGAAATGAAAATCTCCCTGTAACCTCCTGTGCTGGGGTTTTGATGTTTGGTCCTTTAGGACTCTGTAAAATAAAGAAAAAAAGTGGGATAATGGACGCGTGAAAGGCAGAGGCAGGAAGCGGGGATTATTAAGGAGGAGGGAGCCTGCAAGTGCAGACGGGTGAGGCGTCTCAGTTGGGAAACTGACCACGCAGAACAAAGCAAGGGGGGATGCCCGGTTATAGAAGAAGAGAGCAAGTCAAACAAAGTTAATTGAATTAGGGAACTTTGGAGAAAGGGAAGTCATTCAGGCTAGGGAAATCAAAAAGGCCGTTTCCCAGAAATGGCCCTTTGGAAATAAAGTCCCTAACTAAAAGGGTCTATCTCGCTGTTAATGTTCTTGGTAATTCAACTCCCGGTGAGCAAGCAATGACTTAAGCTAAATTTTTGTCCTGCGCACAGACATAGCAGAAACTGTTTTCTGTCTTTTGAGACCTGAGGTTTTAGAGGAACCGTGTTCTCAGCATTCAGAACAGTGCAATCAAACAAGGCTCCTGTGAGTTGGAAGACAGTCAGAAGGGAGGCAGGCATGTGCCCCTGGATAAACAGGGCTGGCAAGAGGAAAGGCAGGTATTCCAGGTACCAGGGACAGCAGAAGCCTGGTGGCAGGGCTCCAGTGCAATTGGCATTTGAGAAGGAACACACAATGAGGGATGTGGAAGCGTGATGGAAATCACAGTTGTCAGAAGCACGATGGCTCAGCCAGGGTGTGCATTCCTGCCGGGGGTTTGTGTCAGGGTCACACATGTCACCCCTAGGAAGAACCTCCCACCAAAAATGACAGCACAGTCTACATTCTTTGCCACCAGAGTGTCCTCAACAGGAGGCTTTGGGAAAATCAACAGTGTTACTTAATGCAGAAATATCGCAGGTTTGTCACTTGCTCTCTGCTCCCAATTTTTTTGAAAGAATACCTGTGCTCCCTTGGGTAACACCTTTCTCCAGTTCCTAGTTATTTTCCATTTTTATCGATCTGGTCAATGGGTGTAACTTCCTGAAGTTAATACACCATATTTGCATTCACTCTCTTCTTTTCTTAAATAAGTTAGTCTCCACTAGGGATTACTTATCAGCAATGGAATTACCGAATAATGAAAGACGTCATCAAGACATACTCACTGTAAAATAAATAAATAAAAAAAAAGAAACCCACAGAGAAAAATGTTATAGGTATCTCTTAGGCCACTCCCAGATGTAATCCCTGTTAACACTTCAGTCTGTGTCCTTCCAGGCATGCAGGAGTGACCAAGGCCAGGTACTGCCAGCATTTCTGTAAGGCCATTCCTAGGCTTGGCAAACCCTTACATGCCTGAGGATGATGAAATCGAGAGACCAACTGGTGTAGGCAATGCATTCTACAGGCCAACACTTATTTCTCTCTCGGGTCTGGATCTCTCCCTCTGCACTGGTTCCTGAGTCATTGGCCCCTAACTTCTTCCTGTACAAAGCTTGTTCCTACTTCTGCCATATATCAGGGATCCACTGTGGCATCAGTCATTTAATAGCCTTCACCTCCTCTCTCGGTATTTGGGATGCCTGTTCCCTTCTTAGCCAGAGTTAGAAGCTCCCTTTGTGCTGTAGGTTAAAGTTCTCATCATCCCAAAGTATGATGTCAGTAGGCATGTAGTGCAAAGACAATATGTCCTTTACTCAGGGGAGCTTAGGAAAAAAATATTTTCTGTTTGTGACTCAAATACATTTTGTGGATTACTGACCACCTATTCTTATGACCACAAAATATATAAAAACAGAAGACTTCTTGGCATCAGTGGGCATTGTCTGATGTCAGTTACCCAGGAAAAGACATTTGAATTGTATTAAGTATAGCACTCATCACAAAAACCATCATCCCACAAGATTTAGGCAGGAGGGACCACCCAACATTTCCTTGAGGACTACCGAGCTGCCACAGGCAATATCCTAGAAGCCATTGGCTCAGAGAATTTTCACTGTTTGTTTCCAATTTTTTTTTTCACAACTTGGGAGACTTTATTTAACTCAGTTGAGAATCTGGTGAGCAGGAGCCTCATTATATATATTTCTGTACATTCAGGATGTGGGATAATCCACAGGAAGCTTCTGGGTATCCCTGTCTTACACTGCAGAAATCACTTGCTTCTGAGGGAAGTGGATTCAAAGGCCTAAAAAGATTTTTAAGACATGTAAATCCAGTTATATCTATTTATGAAGATTAATGACATTTTCAAGAAAATGCAAGAGATTTGGCCACTCATGCATTCTAAGTTAATTCTCTCCTACTCCGTGGCATCCATGCCATTTGTGCAGGGAAAAAATACCCTAAGTTCAGCTCAAGAAGTTCTGTTATAATTTTTAAAGTAAATGTGTAAATTATTTTATGTGCTCAAGATAAATTGCCAAGAAAACGCACTGCTTAACATAATTTCCCACTCAGCAAACACAATGTTTGTAATTATCCACGGTGCATCCGCAGTCAGAGGAACATTTGTTTCTTTTCAGGCTATAGAGAAGCATTATCAAACAAGAATAAAATGCCTGTTTTTTATTCTTTTAGGCACAGTCATGACCCCCAACTACATCGACTCCAGTAGCCTCAGCGTGGCCCCATGGTGTGACTGCAACAACAGTGGGAATGACTTGGAAGAGTGCTTGAAATTCTTGAATTTCTTCAAGGATAACACATGTCTTAGTGAGTTAAAAAAAAGAAAAAGAAACAAACAAACAGGCGTGTTTTCCTCTCCACCTCAAGCTGGATCTTCTTGTGTCTTGTGTCTGCTTCTGCTGTCTGTCTGTCTCTCTCCCTTTTCCTGCTCACTGGTGGTAAATCCAGCATCTTTTGGCCACGCTGTGTCATGCAGCAGGGAACCCAGCAAGTGATGAACTGGGTACTGCCAAGACTGTGAATCCAAAGGCTGGGAGAGCAAGAGATTCAAATAACTGAGGGTACATTATGTGGGAAAGAACACTTCTACCCGCAGATCAAATTTTGATCTTGGCAGCCAGTGGAGAGTCTGTTCCAAAGGTTCTTGAAACCTGGGCAGAATATCCAATGTGAGAAGCTCAGACAAATTAGATGGGGATAGGCCTCCAAGGACTCTCTGAGAAAAATTAGAATGTTAACATCAATAGCCCCTTTGGATGCTCAGGGTTGGCTCAGAGGAGAAGCAGCAATTCTTGAGTGGGATAAACTGGCGATGCAGGCAGGAGGCTCAGGATGGCAGCTATCTCAGGAGACAGAGATAAGCACTGTGGGGGACGGAGGGGGGCTCCTGCTTGGAAACAGAAGCGGCTCATATTGCAGTGTCCTTTAGGCAGTTTGGAAACATGTTTCCCAAAGGGATGAGGGTAGAGAGAAATGGACGGGTGCGAACAATAGGCATTCATCAGACAAACCCCAAAAGCACAGTGCCAGGGCTCCCTTATATCCACGAAGACGTGCATGCTCTAGGTCGTGATCCAGCTGAGAGACTTGAAAATTTCACTCAATTTTTTGGCAGCTGCCATTTCTTGGGTGTCTTTTGTGTATTCAGACTCACTCCATATTACACACAGAAAGAGAGATAAAGATGTATAGAGATATATGAGCTAATTTATGTATATTAAAAGTATTATTTAAGTATTATACATAAATTAGTTCATGTATCTCTATCTCTATGGTATAGAGTGAGTTATAATTTATGTATACTATATATAATTTAATATAAATTATCTCATTTACTGTAATCTGCACAAGAATCCTAGGAGATATGAGTATTATTTCCAATTCACAGCTGAGTAAAGGCTGATGTTCACATTGACCATCCATGCCAGAGATCAGATTCAATGCACATGTTTCTTTTGCATCCCCTGTCTCCTGAGGGATTTGTCCATGCCTGATGTTGAAGGGACTCTTTTGTTTTGTTGAGTTGGAGTCTCACTCTGTCGCCCAGACTGGAGTGCAGTGGCCGCTCCCGGCCACCACAGCCTCGACCCGCTGGGCTCCGGCGATCCTTCCGTCTCAGCCTTCCAAGTAGCCGGAATTACAGGCATGCGCTACCACGCCCGGCTGATTTTTTGATTTATTGTGGAGATGAGGTCTCAGCAAGTTGATGAGACCATATGCCTGAATATCAGGGACCAGGTCCAACTTCCTGGTAAGAGGGATAGACTAAGTTTCTAGGAATCGAAGTTCAGCCACTGCTCCTTGAGCCCTACCCTCAAGTGACAATTTCTCCATGATGTTTGGTTATAAGGTTACTGACTTTTAAAGGACTGATTAACAGTTTGCTATGTACACACAAAACTTCTGAGTGTTGCTCTGAAATATCCTCATTATTGCTTTTGTTGAAAAGAAAAATCTAAGTCTTTTGCCTATTAGATACTTCAAATAATGTGACTGTAGTTCATTGCTTTGGCACTCTTAAAAATATAATAAGTGTTTGGATTCTTAAGTGAAATTCAAGCCCACGAAACTAGTCTCGAGTCTGGAGACATTTACTAAGACACTGGACATATCAAGGAATTGAAATTGCACCTCTTGTTTGGTCTTGACGTAAAATATATTATTATATTCCCTCTTTTTCACATTTTGCACTCTTCTGGCAGAATGCAAGTTTTAACGAAGATAAAGCAATGACAATGGAGGTCAGTGTAAGAAAAGATTTTTGCTCAGGCTGGCTGGAAAACTTCTCCCTCAAAGAGAAATTAAAGTTGTGCCTGCTTAATAACATTTTGGTGAAGGGGAGAAGAGTGTTGTATCTTATTGCTAATGACTTTTCAATAAAAATAAATGCATTCGGTCAGCAACAGGGGCCAATGCCGGCCAGCATTTTTCACAGTCATTCCATTTCCACCGTGACTAGATGGGGCACAGAGCACCAAAGACACAGGGCCGTAAATCGAGTCTCTTGCAAGAATTTGTAGATTTCATCCCAAATGTAGAAATCCAATTCTACTCTGTTCAGATCAAGCCAAGTCTCTCCCAAACATCAGTTGTTCACTTTTGGTCTGGCAGGAAGAAACAGTTATTTTCAAACCGAGTGCATGGCAGACGTACAGGGAAGCCAAGAGAATGAAGCGGAGGTGAGGTGAGACATCGTTGCAGTCACTCAAGCCTTCACCCAGGTGCCGCTTCCACCGGGAGGCCATTCTGCACCACTTTATCTAGTACTAACTCCTTCCTACTCCAGTGCTTCCGGGGCCCCCACTCGCTTCAGTTTTCTCCAAGCATTCCTCACTACCTAACAGATTATATATTTTAACTTATTTACCTGCCAAACCAGCATGTGACCTCCATGAGGGCAGGGACATTTGTCTTTTTGTCTTTTATTGATGTCATTGTAGTTCACTACTGTATGCCCAGTGCATAGGGAGGTGCTTGGCACTTAGTAGATAGCCCGTGAACATTTGAATGAATGAATGAAGGAGCAAAGAACAACTGAATTCCTGAAGTGGAAAGGCAAACACATCGCAAGAAAGGGCAAGAATTTCTTGACTTTACATGCCTTAAGAAAAAAAGAGGGGTGGTTTTTGTTCTGGGTCATTTAAGGAAACGGGTGCCTGTGTATGTCTTTCTCTGCCTTCCACCCACCGGAGAAGCCATGAACTACGACTAGGAGCATAAAAAGCATTTATATTAATTTGAAGCTGTTTTTTTACAGTCCCCCAAAATGTAAAGTTATAGAAAACCAGCTTCCAATTTGCTGAACTTAAGGGATAACAATTTTAGAACAAAATGTCACTTCTAAGAGGAAAATTAGGCTTAAATTATTCTGTCTTGTATATCGAAAAATGCCAGCTAAGAGTCATATATTAACAATTTGCACATTCAGGTCCCAAATGGAGGAATCTGATTTTTTTTTTTTATACAATGAATATGAAATAAAAAAAAAATTCCTAAATCCAGGCCAAATCCCCGAAGACCTGATTAAAACCTGTTTTTTATTCACTTTGGGGAGGGGAACAACACACAACCAATTTATTCTTGCTATAAAAACAATCTAATCCTATGAAATTGTAATAAGCTTTTAAAGTTTTACATTTTAAACTTTTCACTTAAACAGGGCTGCTCCTGCCTAATTATGCAGATTTTGTTTGGAAGACTGGGAGCAGAAAGGAAAAAAATAATCTTACTTAAATTTTCACTAGATATTGATGAAGCTTGGGCAATTTTTTTGTTTGTTTTTTAAGGAATTCATTGCATTTTGCCTGCCAAATTACTGTGAATGCCTGAGACTGAGGTGACTGAGGAGTCACCTCAGTCTCATGACTAGGGATGTACTTTTTTAAAAAACACTAATTAGTTTGCTTTTAATATGAAATATTGATAGATACAAGAATTTTCTTGGAAAATGGGAGAGTTATGATCCCAAGTAATAGGTCTGAGACTGGATTTCAAAGGGCTTGACTGATAAGCATTTCAGGGCAAGGATCTTGCTCAGTTCTTGGCACATAAATAGAAACACAATAAGTATCTGTTGCATTTAGAACATAGCTAAGTGTCCAGCTCTGTGTTTAATGACTGAATTGATTTTTGATCACCTGACCCCAGAGACTGGCCCTCAGCACATGCAGGGAGAATGGATGGATGGGTTTTGTTCGGAGAAGCCCAATGCCGTAATCAGAATTTCTGTGTGTCTCTCTGGCTGTGTGTATCCTGTCTGTTATTTTCTGTTTGACTTTGAAATTGGATTTCCTCCTGTTTTACTGCAGAAAATGCAATTCAAGCCTTTGGCAATGGCTCTGATGTGATTGTGTTGCAGCCAGCCCTCCCAGTACAGACCACCACTGCCACCACTACCACCACCACCTTCCGGGTCAAGAACAAGCCCCTGGGACCAGCAGGCTCCGAGAATGAAATCCCCACTCATGTTTTGCCACCATGTGCAAATTTACAGGTGAGAACAGAGTCCACATTCCCTGTCAGGGCTCACTTCTGGGGAGAACACAAACTCAGTGTCTGAAATGCATTCAGATATAGATGGCGAATGTTGCTTGGGTTTGGATCTTAAAACCGCATTTTTAATATAATCAGTGATGATTGTGACATGTCATGTAGTGAAGGGAAAGACATACTGTGGGACTGGCTCTGTCATTTGCTGGGGATGTGTCTTTGGTCAAAGCACTTGTATCTGGCCCTATTTCCTTAACCTATAAAATGAGGGCTTTCGGCAGATGCTGCCCTAAAGTTTTTGTGAACGGGATGGTCGAGTTGGGTTGGCTATTTATTTATTTACAATGCTGATTCTGTGTTCTCTACAAAGCAGCAGCATATTGGGAAAAAAAAGGAGCTCTTGGGCTTGTCACCATTTTGCAACATGGAGTATTTAATTGTCTCTAAAGGCAAATAGGAGAAAGTGTTGCTGGTTAACTCCTATGTGGAGTCCTGATGGACTTGTTCTTCGGGAAGCAAAAGCAAGTACTCTTTGGCAGCAGGAGGAGCAGTGAGGAGCCGCAAGCTGCCCTCACACCCCACGGGTCGTGAAGAGAGTCCAGTGAGCATTCTGTGGGGTCCATCCTGGTCTGCAAGAGCAGAGCCATAACAAGATACAAACAGTGATTTCCTGCCTTCAGTCAAAGGCAGAGTGCTTATCCTAGCTTTGTATTGATTTTTCATAGTGATGAGTATTCAGATATTTGGCAAGACATTATTTATTTGTGTGTTCATAGAGTAGCCTCACATACTTTACTTCTTTGAATGTTGTCTTCTTGACGATTACAAGCAAGATGCCGTCACTATTGTTTTGTAGCTTCTTTCATTTGAGGACACAAGGGCTCAGAGAGGTAACACTTTTGCCCAGGCTTGCAGAGCGAGGAGGTCGTGGAAGCAGCACTGGGAATCTAAGAGCCTTATTCTCTCTCACAGGTTTTTCCTGTGTTTGGGGAGTAGTGGTGACCACGTGGTGACTTCTGCCTCTTGCCACGCTGGGGAAGGGGATATTTGGTGGTCTATGTGCCAAACACCATGCTGTCACCTCACATGTATCACTAGAGCACATCTACCCCACCCCCACACCCCAATCAGGAATCAGTCTCACTGAAAAACTCACCAGAAGCCTTCTTTTGCTAAATGTTGTCCTGACGCACACCCCACTTTGTTCCCTGGAAGGTGTTGGGACAGGTTTTCCACTTTTGATTTGCTTGCTATCGCCACACCCCAATGTCTCGAGATCCTTCTTCTAGATATCCTACATACAATTCACCTGAGTTTGCATCTCTGCCCTCTGTTCTGCTGGGTCTCCACTCCTGAAACACACTCTCAGAGACACTGTCACACAAGGACACTAAGGAGAGACAGATAGGGAAACCATACAGCCCAAGGTCAAGTAGATGATCTTCATACTTCTAAAGCATTTCCTAAGCACTCACCCTCCCCAAAGGAGCCTTGGGGAACACTATGGCATCCAACTTCTCCATTTTGCAGCAAGACCCTGAGTTCCAGAGAAGACAAGTGACTTGTACAAAGTTCCCTAGTGAGTTGGAGGTCGGTCCAGAGCCAGTCAGGAAACAGGGTCCCTTCTTCATCTCTGGCTGGTGCTTGATGCCCTGCTTCCTCCCAGGTCAACTTCTGTGCTCTTTGCGACCACTCAAATTCTGATGTCAGTAAAAACACATGTCCAGATGAGGGGCAGGATTTTATTATCAAAAGGTGATCATGGTGGGCCAGTGGTGGTTTTTAAAAAGAACAAGCAAGCTCTGGCTGTGGTACAACCAGCTTCTTTTCTGCAGATATCTTGGTGCTCAGAGTGACTGCCAAGGCAGTGTTTAGCCTGTTTATTAAGTCCCTTTTGTGTTCTGGAAACTTTGTAGAGATGGGCACTCAAAAACAACAACAACAACAACCAAGTTCTCTTTCAGTGAACTTTGAATAGTGGGCAAGATGCAGCTTGTCAACGTGTATAGAAGTTAATAGGTGACATCTCAGAATAGTCATCATCGGAAATTCCATGAAATTAGAATTTCCCCCATGAGCAGGAGAGGAGTTCATCAGCCATAGGAAGGGTCCTACATCATAGCTCCTGACTTGGGCTTCTTGTGGTACAGAGCACATCTTAGCCACACAGACAACCAGTGCTTTGCCCCCAACATAGATCTGCCCAACCACCCCTCTAAAAGTATACTCTGGCCAAACTCAGTGGCTCAGCCTGTAATCCCACGCCTTGGGAGGCTGATGTGAGTGGATTGCCTGAGCCCGTGGGTTCGAGACCCGCCTAGGCAACTTGGCGAGACCTCATCTCTACAATAAATCAAAAAACTAGCCGGGTGTGGTAGCACGCGCCTGTAGTTCCAGCTACTTGGAAGGTTGAAGCGGAAGGATCACCGGAGCCCAGCAGGTCGAGGCTGCGGTGGCTGGGAGCGGCCACTGCACTCTGGTCTGGGCGACAGAGTGAGACTTCAACTCAAAAAAAAAAAAAAAAAAAAGTAGACTCTGCGCAGCCTAGGATTGCTCTGGCAACATCAGGGAACACAAGAGCTCTATTCCTGAGGAACCAGGCTTTTCCTTTCCCTGTGTTAGTGATAAGAGCTTCCTAAATAGAAGGGCAAAAGTAAAACTAAAGTGAGATGTTTCTCTCAGGGCTGCCATTTAACTTCTCAGAAGAGGGGGGCATGGAGGTGTGGGACTGGTGAGGAACAAGGGGCAGCCATACCTCTCTTCCCTATGATTCACACAGTAGCCACATATTGCGGAGTGAAACAGCATTTTGCTCCCAGGGAGCCCTTTAGGGTTCTACAGTACCTTGCCTTGACTCCTAAGATGACTACCTGCTTGAGCCCATTTTTGCACATGTGGGGTAGGGGATAAAGGCACAGGCTTTGCAGTCAAGCCTGTGTCAGACCCTGCTCTTGTGCTCACCAGCACCAGCTCATGCAAGTAGCCTCTTTCAGCCTCAGCTTCCCCATCTAGAAACTTCGAGTTTGGCCTAGCTGCTGGAGTTGAGAGGGTTGAGTGGAACCAAGTGAACGCTCCAGAATGGAGCTCTAGAAATGTCCCGTGCAGTGTCTGTCTCAAGCAATTGGCTACTTTGTCCCGTTATGACAGATGGAAGATGATGCTATGCCTTGGCTCGTGGGTGGGGTGTTGAGGTTATGTTAGGGGACATTCATGAAACTTAACACTGGTAAGTGTGTAATTTATTTCATTCTTCAAAACACTTGGTGTAATTTGTCCTCACAGCAGCCCCATGAGTCAGGTGTGGCAGGCAAGCTTCTTTTTCACAAATGAGCCAGCTGAGGTGAGGAGAGGCTAGTGACTTAGAATCACACAGGCATTCTCTGCTGGGCTGGGATTTCTAACTCCAAGGCCAGAGTGCTTTTGCCTTGTTCTGTGACCCTTGGACAATCGAGGCTCTTTCTCTTGGTTGGGAATAGACAATGAGGAGGAAGGAAAGACTAGAAAAGGAAGACAAAGGAGCTGGTTTTGAGAGAGCTTTGTGTTCTACTTCTTCCTGAAGGTCAATGATGTGAGTTAAGGGGACAGATACAAAGCTTGTAACTTAAATAATTTTTTTATAGATATGGAGGGAGTCTTTCTGTGCTGTCCAGGCTGTTCTCAAACTCCTGGCCTCAAGCAGTCCTCCTGCCTTGGCCTCCCAAAGTGCTGGGATTACAGGCATGAGTCACTGCGCTTGGCCTAACTCATTGATTGAGACTGGGTTTCTTCATGTCTCAATTCCAGGAGACAGTAGAGGGGAAGGGCTGAAAGTTTGTCAGTAACACCTTTTGCAGCTTGAAGATTTTTTAGGGCGACCTCTATGAAGAATGGTTGAAAGGAGCATTTGAGGCCAGAATATCAGGGAGATGATAGAGTAATGGGCTAAGAGCCTTCATCAGGAAAACGTGGCCCCTCAGCTGATTTAGGACTTTTGTCTCGGCAGAGGGTTCTCAGGAGACTCATTCTTCCCATATGTCCCTCCTTTGCCTGCCTGGCTGTCTCCAGATGAATTACCATTTGCCAGGGGGTCCTAGAAATATCTTGGAATGGCGTTTGTCCCAGCCGCATGTGTCATTACTCAGAATAGAACTGACTTAAACCAGCTTGGGATCCATTGGTAACAGATTTGGAGAAAGGCAACTATCTTTGGCAGCTTTAAAGTTCACTTCCCTTGAGAAGCGCCCTCTTGTAATATTTTAAAATATACAATAATATGAGAAAACTCTCGGGGACTTGAGTTTCTGTCTTAACATTTGAGATAGATTTCCCCCTTGGAAGGGAAGAAATACGAATAAACATTTTCAAAAGTCTGCTTTGAAGTATATTATCAACAAACCAAATGCAATTCTGTTTGGGGAAATAGGTGGCCATGGTTGTAGTGAATATAGGACTCATCTGTGGTTCCTAAGAAAGGCTTTGCTTTAAAAAGGGGAAGTTGATTGATTAGTATAAAATGTCATAGAAATGTCCAAGTATTAGCTCCCTGAGGTGATAAAATACCGGGTTTTGAGCAACCCACCAAGCTCCCATGTCAGGATTAATTGGCAGGCATATTAGTAACAAGCATGATGCGGGCTGTGCAATTGTGGGCCTGTCCCTTCGACTTGTTCAAAGTGGTCACATGCAAAACAAAGAAACATTAATAATCCTGCCAATTCCTTCATCTTCTGTGCACTTGAGTGGTCTGCTAGCTGGAAGAAGCTCAGGATATTTAAACCAAATGGACTGTACTCGTCACTTACTTAAAGTAAAACTCTTTGGAGATGTCAGTGTTGGCAAATTTCTACTTTGCATCATTGTATACTGTTTAACTCTGGTGGCTGACAGTGCAGACCTCTTAATGCAGTGTTTACAGACCTCTGGTTTCTGTGGTCAAATAGAGTAACTTAGACTGGGAACTATAACCTTGGGACCAGGCTCAGGACCACTGAGGTATTACTGCCTCTGCCCCTCTGCAGCCCCTTG